ATTGTTGTTGTTATTATTATTACGATTCAGGTCTACCTCGTAAACCGTCATCCGATATTCCCATTTCCAAGAAGAACAAAAGTTAATGCAACAGGTTACTTGGTTGAACCCTAATTGAAAATATAAAACTAAGTAAAATTTATAAATATGGTACAATCGATAGTAAGCTATAGAGCGATATAATAGATTAATTACAGATACGATAGGTAATAGGATTGTGTCGTTGAATCTTATGGCGATTTTGTTTTCCTTTGTTTAAGTCCTTCGCTTAGAGGAAGTATGAATTCGAATCGAGGATTTAGTTAAGTGTCTGCTTTTTCATATTCAAAGTGATGAGTATGTCTTGTCCATTGTCAGTCGAACAACGTCGCATACACGAACCACCACAGCGTGGACTAGCAGCCATCTTGACTAGCGTTTTTTTCTCAATATTTTTTTCTTTTTTTGTTTGTTATTCATCCGATGTTCCCTCCCACTTCCGTCGATGATTTATCCATCGTCACCCGCGAGAGTCTTTAGAGTCACCAAGTTACATCCTGCGGCTGTTCAATCTTGAACGGCACGAATCAATCGCCAGGATGCTCGGGACAACTGCGATTCACTTGAAACCATTTGTCGATACAACTGAAAAACAATAATAAATTATCCATAAGACTGCCATGATTGAATTTCATAGAACGAAATTAGGGTTACTTACTTTTTATGGTATATACAGAGGCAAGGTAAGCGAGCTATCACATCGCCGGGTTGTAGCTCTTCGAGACAGATAACGCATTCACCCTTTTCGTCGGACAGCACGTCTTCTACAACACAAGAATAGAAAACGAAGTATCAATTTTTCATGAATCGTGTTAATTTTTCAATGTCCCTCGTTAAATTACGTGACTGCTATGAGAAATTTAAGAGAAAAGATATAGTGATTTTCTTTTTCTAACAAAAACTCATGTTACCATTGTGGTAGATGAAAAGGAGAGAAACCAGAGGAGTAAATAAAAGAGTGGATGAGGTGGTTAAGAATTAGGGGTGGGAATGAGTCTTGTATGCCAACCTAACTAAACATAGATACCCAGTGCCCAACTATTCCAAACCTTCGATGACCTCATCCTTATCTCGAACTCATCCTGTCAACAACCAGCATCTACATTATCCTCCGCTTTGTACTATGCGTCATTTTTAATCTTGGACCTCTGCTTACCAACCCTTAATTCCCATCCACTGATCCTTCCCAGTGTACATATATACATATGTTCCAAAAACAATAGTTCCTTCTGTTCAGTCTAAAGCCACGAAGCTCTACTGTACTTAATAAAAACCTTTGCATAAATTTCATACTTCACTCTTATTGAGTATAATAAACGTCACCTCAACGGAATACAACAACAGAGATAAGATAAAGTGTAGAACACCGGAAAAGAGGCCTACAAAAATATGTGAGAGTCGGAGAGTGAATAACAAAGACAAAGGGCATATGATAATTGAAAACGACGATATTTGAAATAAAGAGAAAGTCAGAGTAAGAAAAGAGATCAGTTCGTAGACTATAGTAAGATGAAGATAATGTATATCTAACTTAATATAGACTAAGACTGTAACTCAAAAAGGAATCAGTTGAATTAATGATACTTACCATTGTAACTAAGACGTGGTTTGGTCAAACACATAACTAAGTGGCATTCCACATCGTCTGGCAGAATGAATTTCGAGCAGACCGAACACTTTAGACCTAGAAAAACACACAAGAAATAAGATTACTTAACGTTTCAACGAGTGAACTTAAACACCTCAGTGGACAACAATTTATGCAAGACAACAAGGAATTCTAATTTAAGAACAGGCGTACCGTAAAAAATTCTCCTCACTTGATTCACAGGTGCAACCTCGGCCTCGGACTCATTTAAACATGAACTTATTACAATGCCCATAATCAAACTTAAATATCACCGCCCATATACCCATTACAATTTTTTTTAAATACTAAATACCTCATCAGTGTGTGTTGATGTTTAGTTTAATTGAAATTGTAAATTTACGCAACTACGTTATAAATCACAATCGATTTAGTACATGCGGTTACCGGGCCAACTACTCGGACACAACATACGCCAAACAAATACCCTTCGCTCCTCGTGGTTGTCTCGTATTAGTAGCACCAGTGGCAGCAGTAGTAGTAATAGTAGTAGTAGCAATAATAATAATAATAATAATAATAATAATAATAACAATAATAATAATAGTAATAGTTAGTATTATAGTAGCGTACTCTAACCTAAATTTTACTCGCTACGAATTTAGTATTAATTGTATATTAAGTAAGTACTTAATATGTACAGAATTAATTATGTTCGCCTGTATAAAATAAAAAGTAGCCCAATTCCATTCTACATTTCGATCTACAAACGAAATGCATACATCGTTTGTAGATCGATCGTTTTTAAATTCCAAACGGAATCTTAAACGAAACCAAAGATCTCCTATAGGATCTACGTATGAGATTGATTATGTAACGAGTGATAACATCCATATCGGAATCTTCGTGTAACGAATCTACACTTAGATGTATCGTCGCACATCGTGCTGTGATACAAATTTATAAATGCTTACTCGAACCACGTACGTTATTATCGTACACAGCTGTAGCATTTATAATTAGTGCGATATACTTTGTTGGGCGAGTATATAAGCGCATTTGTATCACGAGTAAACCCGCTACGTGCAACTCGTAGTCATATGTATTTGGCTGTTGTTCATACGCAGTTGATAAGCGTGGGAATGATGATAATAAAATAAATCTGGGATAAGTTGGAACGTTGGCTGGCGCCCGAAGGGTTAAACCGCTTACCGTTGAAGGACCAGATGTGAGACGGTAAACTGTGCGCGGCGTAAAATCTTCTTCCGCTATCATCGTCGGGATCGTCGGAATCTAGCTGCGGAAGGCCGAGGGCCTGGCCGACCCCGACGGAAGAAGCGAGGCTGCTTTGTTCGCCGTTGGACGATAGATCCGGCACCGAACTCAGGGAACGAGCACGTTGCCTACTGTCCCCCGAGACTCTGGAAGTTTGCGACTGTGTTGCTGCTTGATGTTGCTGCAGCATGCCGACGGCCCCGGGGAACGATCGTAGGAAACCGTGGATCGCAGGCTCATTTGCTCCAGCAGAGGATTGTCCATTGCCTCCAGTAGAATGTGTCAGTGTGCTTGTTTTAGCTCCCATCCCGATTTCAAATAACCGAATGTTAACCACGAATATTTCTGCCGATCAATTATCCCCAGAAGGTGATGATTATCCTCGCCGTGGTACCGACGAAACGTTTATACCGTAATTAGAAGAAAAATCAACATTCCAAATATTAGTCGTTGGCAGTGATACACGCACCGACACAATTTTCGTAAATAGTCCTAGCCTCCTTGGTACGTGCGACCGACGTTTTTATTCTTTATCGCGCGTCGCGGACCGTCGGAATTGTTCAACGATTGATTACGACCGTTTAGGATTTCGGTATAGGCCGTATTTCGATAAACGTACGCGTCAATGAGCGATTCATATCGTCCAGATGCATACCGTCGTCGACTCGTCGCGCAAAACACCCCCCGACGACATCTTGCTAGAAACTTCCTAGAAGTCAGTGATCAGCAGCACACACGACGATGATCAGCTGCTACTGCTACGAGATCGTTCCGTTCCCATTCATGCTGCGTATACACTATACACCGTGCACCGACCGTGCAATGCCACCGAGCGTATACACGCTACCGAGCACTAATAACCCGACGACCGACGACACGTACGCGTACCGTGCCCTCAGCGACCACGACGTTGCGAAAAATGCTTTCTCATTCATACGACGCTTGATCTCGTCCCGCGGACTCGACATAGCGACGTGCAGGCGGCGGCAGACGCGACGATACCATATAGAGGGTACGCGACGATACATTCGAACATTTCTAATCGTACAAGTATCGTAGAACGCGTCGCGGGTCGATCTTTACGGATGTTTCGTTCCCCGTTTCAAGCAAAACGACAAACTCGATATATTTCACGGTTTGCCGATGGTCAGTACGTTCGCGATTCATCCGACAAGTCGCACAGAACCTCACTTCGAAAAACTACCCATCTATGGTATGAAATTCTATGCCATCGTGCGACCAATGGCTGTTGAACATAATAGAGACATCTGCAGTCCATGGCAGAGATCAGGAGGGAGATTGCATGGACTTAAAGGACGGTGCCTAAAGTGGGATCATGGGCGAGGGGAAAGGCTCCCAAAGGCATGAGGGGAAACAGCTCTGTTTGAGCTCACAAGTGGTGCCCTCAGTGCAGCCCCGCCTCATTTTGAACATGCTTATTCGTCTGATTCGCCTGGAACATG